GGGGCTGCTGGGGAGGACTGTGTGAGATCACAGGGGGGAAGAGCGTCAGACTGTGCGAGTGCGCACACAGGCCCGTGGATGAACGAGAGGCTGCCCTACGCGGACTCCCTTCACAGGACCCACTCAGCTACTCATTTCCTCCATGATTTAGAGGCTGAGCACCTAACAAGTCATTCCAGCTGCCTAACCTGGCATTGAGGACTTATGCCAGGCTCCTGTCCTAAACATCTCCTGCCGTACCATCGCGGTCCCCTTTCACAGCTACAGAAACACCAAGAGACCCCTCCTTCGCTGTGCCGGCCTGACTCTCCGGAATGCCCTTCCTCTAGCCCCACTGGATGACCCCTACCCGCTGTTCAAGGTCAAGGTGTTCCACAAAGTTTAGCCAGGGGTTGAGAGTGAGGCTTCTAGAGCCAGGTGCCCTGGGGTTGAAGCCTGGCTCTGGCACTTGGGATTTGCATGGCTTACCCTGGAGGCCTGTGTTATCTTGTTCTCAAAGCATGGAGAATGGCTACCTCCCAGGGTCGCTATGAGATCGAACGAGATCCTGCACGTAAGTGCTTTGTACGTGGCTGGCGCACAGTGAGTCTGCACCTGGTGCAAGAGCCCATCAGCGTGTGCTTGAGTCCCTTGCCCCAAGTCAAGTTCCTCCATCTTCCTGAGCACCCAACATATGCCAGGTGCAGGGGGAGAAGGTGGGGCCCAGACAGACCCTGCCCACCTGGAGTTCCTGGTCTCACCTGGGAGCCAGGAAACGGACACAGATGACAAGGTCCTTTACACCATACTCACCAAAGCTCCCTGTGCAGAATAGGTTTCCAGATCAGAGTTTAGAAGCAGAAACACTCACCGAGTGTCCCCACATCAGGGCAGCTACTTCACATTCATCATCTCGTTGTCTCCCGGCCAGCCTTCGAGGTATGGGTACCAAGCCCCATATTTAGATGAGCAAGCCGAGGTTCAGAGAGGTTAAGTGACTTGTCCAAGGTCCTGCAGCTGGTCAGCAGCGAAGCTGGGACCCAAATCCGGGTCTGCCTAATACCGAAGCCCCAATTCTTATGGGTGGGCCATGAAGACCCAGGGGAGGGAGCAGTGACCAGGAAAGAGGCAGGAAGGAAGTTGCCTTGGGAACCATCCCCCAAAATGCTGAGCTGTAGGAACACCTCAACGTCTTGCCAACCTGCCCTGCCACTGAGAGGCCACCTGCCTCCCTCCCGGCAGTTCCCAGCCTCACATTCAGCTGATGGGTGATCTCACTTCTGACTGTCACAGCCAAATGGTCAATGCTAATTAATTCAATTTGTTCAGCAGGGAAATTGAAGACTTGGCTTAGAGTAGTGATCTGACGTTAATGTGTAATTTATGCTAGTTGGAGCCACAGACATGCCCTTCTCTTCTGAACTGAGAATGGGTCCTACTAGAAGACCATGTCACTCCAGGTAATGAGGAGCCTGGCTGGTGGTCTGCTGCTTGGATTGAGGAAGAGACGGCTAGGGAAGAGCAAGATGATGTCAGCACAGAGAGTAACAATTCTTCCATGCCCCCCGCAGGGATGAGCAGATTCAGAGAAGGGAGGGCCTAAGTGAGGTGCTAGAGGACGTGTTCACCAGGACCCAGCATGGGGCCAGGTGCCTGACCTCCATGCCCTCTGGCCTTTGCCGCTGCCCACATGTGACATTAGCCTCTGGTTGCAAACAGACATATGGATGTCCAGGGAGGCTTTGTCCTTCCCCAGCCCCGGTGACCCAGCTGAGCAGAGGCAGGACTCAGATCCAGGTCTCTGCGGACTGCAAATCCAGGCTTTCCTTTATCCTGGCACAGAGTCTGGATTGCCCTTTGGTGAAGATTTGCTCCCCTCCCCACCACTGTGGGCGGAGCGCGCTGCCCCACCCTGACCACCCGGGGCTTGGCCATCACTTGCTTAGGCCAACAGAATGTGCAGAAGATTAAAAATTGCCAAAAACTTTTTGCTACTCCTCCCATTCCGGAGAAGGCATTTTCCCTCTGCCCCCTTGAATCTGATCTATTTGTGACTTGTTTTGACCAACAGCATGTGGCGGAAGTGATACGTTCTGGAACCTGGCCTTAAGAGGTCTTGAGGCATTCACTCCTGCCCTCTTGAAACGCTGCCCAGAGAGAACCATGTCAGGATGTCAGCCGAGCCTGCTGGAGGATGCGTGGTCCACCAGAAAGGACTGAGGCATGCCAGGTGACCACCAGCCAGTGGCCAGTCAGGGAGGGAGCCCGGCTGGCATGTTCCAAGCACTCCAGCTCTGACCGCGAGCCCACGAGCGAGCCCACGAGCGAGCCCAGGCGCGAGGAGGAGAGGAACTTCCTAGTCAACCCACAGAACTGTGAGAAATGCCCAGTCATTGCTGTTTTAAGCCCACTAAGTTTGGAGAGGTTGTTTGCAGCAATAAACAGCTGATACAGAATGTTAGTAAAGACGGCATGAGCAGAGGTCTAAAATGTGTGCGTGTGGTTTGCCTTGGCTCTGGCACTCTGTGATCTACCCTGAGAGGAACATGCCCTGGGGGGCCGCTGCTCCTTCAAGCTCACGGAGACAAACGCAAATGGGGCAGATGTGAGCCCAGCCCACAGCCTGGGGCCAAGCCTGTCCAACCCGTGGCCAGAAACAGAGCCTGTTCTAGAGCCACCAAACCACAGCAGATCCTGAGCATGGAACTATTTGGTGTTGTTACCCTCTGAGTTTGGCGGGGGGGGGGGATAGCTTGTTATGCAGCATCACCTTAGCCAAAGCTGACTGATAAACCATCCTGCCTCTAACCCACACATTTTTAACAAAGGTCCTGTGTCCTGCATGAGAAATGCCATCCCCCTAATTTTCCTGAGAGATTCTGACAGTCCAGTTATCATCTGTACAAAGTTGCAGGAGCACAGAACATGGTGTTATGCAGGGGGAGTCAACGGTGCCGCTGTGGTCCGACAAAGCCCTTTACTGCAGGGGATAAACAGCTGAGGGCAGGGAGACATAGTGGGAGGCGGTTCCTCCCAGCCGGCTAGAGGGTCCCAGGTGGATTATTTGTACCAGGTAGAGTGGGAAAGGCAGGTAAGGGATGTCTTTTAACTTGCTCTGCTCTGGTGATGTCTAGTTAGGGGAAGAACTTAGGCAGAAAGTACGGTGTTCCCTATGGTGGAAGTGGAAACTCACCTGCACCAGAGCCCCAGGTTCAGCCCTGCTTCTGGGCTGCTTTTTGCCTGACCTCTGACCCCAGCCTGGATTTCCCTGGTGAACACAGCTCCAAGCTGGCTCCCCAGGCCCTTCTGCATAGTGGTCCCGGATTACCCAAAGCTACTGGAAATAGGACAGAGGTATCTCTCCAATGCTTAGTGATGCAGACAAAACCGGGTGACAAGGGGGCTGTTGAAGGCTACGAGGGAGTAGGGTGGGGTGGGGCAGTTCTCCAAAATGACAGAGAGAAGATGACAGGGCCTTCTGCAGGGCTCACCCACAGGGGTTTGGCCCTTCCATGGTAAATGCCAAGGACGGCACACGTTGCCCACGAAACCAGGAAAACAGCTCTGGTTCTCAGTCCAAGGTGGGGAGACATTTTAGCAAAAGAAAAAGAACAGGAATAAGTCAGGCCCCTAAGGTCCAGGGTCTCTCGCACACCCTCCGGGGATGCCAACGCCGAAGATAACACCAGTCAGCCCCGCCTGGCTCCCTCAGGTCCAGCCAACGGCGAACATTCCCACTCCTTCTTACTTGCCGGCAGTGGGTCAGCAATCGGGTCACACACTCAGGCTGATCGAGGAGTGGCCAGGGGCCATCTACAGGGCTAGCCTCAAGCAGGCAGCAGCTCTGAGAGCATAAGCTGCCAACAAACATCCCAGAGCTGAATCTGGTTAGAAGGTGCAGAAATACTATATGTAGGACACCTCAAAACAAGCACACAGGCTGGGTATTATAACTCCGTTCTGTAAGTGGGGAAGCCAAGGCCCAGAGAGGCATTCCAGGAAATCCCCAGTGAGACCGCTGGGCCAACTCCAGCTCTCTCTGCTGCCCACCCTCTGCTCCCAGGCCGGGGGGCGGGGGTCACTGAGTCAGCTCCTTCTCTTGCCTCAGGGGTCTGCTGCTGCTGTGCTCCCCCAGGAGAGGGGTGAGTCTGGGTCCCGCAGACCGTGCGCCACTCCCAGGGCCCCAAGTTCTGCACCTCCCTCCGCTAGCTGTCCCCCGCTGACGGATCTGTCCCAAACCGGCATGCCATCCTGGGGACCTCTCCCACCCAAGGTCTGAGCAAAGGCACTCAAGCTTTCCACTGCCCCAACACTCAGAGCGTGTCATTGGACGGCAAGACACACATCCTGAGGTGTCCCTAGTTGGCTTGAATGGTGGTTCCCCCATAAGGTATGTCCACCCGGAACCTGTGGATGAGAACTTCTTAGGAAGAGGTATCTTCAGATGTAATTGAATTACGCAACTGTAACAAAGTTAAGCATCCTGAGATGAGATCATGCTGGCTTTGCGGGGGCGGGGGGGCTAAATCCAATGACACTGTCCTTAGAAGAGAAGACAGGACGGAGAGATGACGTGAGGACAGAGGCAGAGAATGGAGGGATGCATCTACAAGCCAAGGGGGGCCGGGGACTGCCGGCCACCCCCAGAGGCTGGAAGAGACAAAGGATCGTCCCCTAGGAACTTCAGAGGGAACGTGACCTTGCTGACACCTGAATTTCAGACTTCTCATCCGATTCCCTTCCCTCCCGCTCAAGAACACTACATGCACATGAGAACACCAAGGCCAACGTCATTATTACAGGACTGTTTCGCATCCACTCAAATTAACGTACAGAAAAAATAAAACCATTTTCCAAACGACTTAACCATTTTGCCTATTTTCAAACTATTTTTAACTTCTAACTACTATCACCAAGAACTGGGAACACATTCACAAGGCTCATGATCCCTGGCCCAGAACCCTCTGCCTGGGGAATGAACTTGGGAAGGGTTTTCATCTGTGACAATAAGCCAGACTCACCTTTCTCCTGAGCCATCTCTTGCAGACAGAAGTAGATGACCCTGGCTCCTAGGCTGAAGCCAATCAAGGTGACAGGTCTCCGGCCCTGCAGGAGACAGGACACAGTCTGGAGGTTGGTACACTTGCCAGTTCAGCATCGGCCCTGATGAGGATGGCCCTTGCACACTCCTTAGCGCTTGCTTCACGTTTAACGAATCATGCATCTGCTACCCCTGGTTGGTCCCAGAGCTCCGATGTCTTAATCAGGACAGGCAGGACCCTCATTCATGCAGGAATCCACCTGCTGCTGGAATTGCTTTCTCCAGGGCCGACGGGCAGCCTCTGGCTGATTGATTCCCTTTCATCTCGAACCCTTACCCGGCCACTGTCTCTTCTTGCCCAGGGGACAGGATGCATCTGTTGGGTGGCAGACGACTACAGTGAAGTGGGGTGCCGGGGAGAGGAGTCAGAAGGTACCCCAGGGTGTGATGATGGGCATCGAGGCAGAGGCACCTGGGGGGAGAACTATTCTGTTTCTAGAGAGGAAGGTGGGACTGAAATATTGGCTTTAAATAAGAGAAGGTAGTAAGTTAGACACGGAGAAGGATTTTCTGACTAAAGAACTTGTAGAAAAGGCAACTCCTAAGAGGAAGCGTTACGGGGGTTATCTGGGTACCAGCTCTCCATGGAAGGAGAGGGCAGGAGCAGAGGAGCTCCAAAGGTCGGGTCTGGTCCCGCCAGTCTCTTCCTTTTCCTTGTTTTTGTGCCAATACGTGCGTATTGACCCTCCCTCCCCTCACCCCCATCTACGACGACAGGAAACCCTTGATCCAATAGTAGCGCAGTCCTGCAGGAACCGTGTGCAGCAGCTGCTCGTCATCCCCCAACTCCCACTCACCCCCCTTGGTCCCTGCTAACAGAACTCCTGAGTTTGGCTGGCCCACAGCTCTCCGGCCGGAGACAAAGTCACTCCGACTCCCTTGCAGCTCGGGAGGGCCAAGGCATGAGAAGCAAAGAACGGTGTGATTTCCATGCCCCCCACTCCGCTGTCCTGCCTCTGTTTGGATGGGGGGTCGTGCCAGCAGATGTGTCTCGGACCAAAAGAGAGACCGAACGCTCAGGACGCGTGACCATGACGTCGACAGAGTCTGGGCTCCTGGTACTTACTGCAAAGCCTCCCACATGGGAGGTAGAGTAATGGCCCCCTGAGGATGGTCCCATCCAAACCCTGGGGCCCCGTGAGTGCCACCTTATGTGACAGAGAGGGAGGCAGGAGGGTCAGAGGAAGATGGGTGACGTGCTGGCAGGAGCAAGGGACGGAGAGAAAGATGTACAGATGCCACACTGCTAGCTCGGAAGCTGGAGGAAGGGAGTTACTGGAGCCTTTGTAGAAAGTAGGTAGCCTTTGGCAGCCAGAAAAGGTGGGGTCGTGGATGCTCCTGGGAGCCTCTGTAAGGGATGCAGCCCTGCAGACCCATGGTAGATTTCTGACCTCAGAGCTGTAAGATAATAAATCTGTGTTGTTTTAAGCCTATGGTCCCATGTTACAGCAAGAGGAAACAAAGACACATGGCATTGCCCCGGATGCTGACATCCAGGCTGTTCCAAGGGAGAGGGTAAACTCCCGCCTTCTTTAAGCCAATACCACTCTGGTCTTTGCCTTACAGCCAAACCTGGCACAGGACTTCTCTCTTTCTTCTGGCAAAGAAAGACACAGAAATCGGTGGGGGGAGGGGTGTTGTTTCTCAAGCAGTTTACCCATTGTGGCAGAAACTGCTGGTTGTCCCTCAATGTCCCTCCTCCCCTTTTCCCATAGCTGAACTTCAGCTGGGTTCACTGACATGCAGAAGAAAGACGACCTTCCCCAGCTTCTGCGCCAGTAGGGATGGTCCTAGGACCAGGGTCTGGCCAATGAGACGTTGGTGGAAATGCTACAAGGCCTTTGCTCTTTCATCTTCAGCCCTTCCTTTCTCCTGCTGGCTGGAGCTGATGCCGACATCTGGGACCATGAGGGCAAGGCCACGGACAACAGAGCAACAAGCCAGAAGGCACCTGGACCTCTTCATGGCAAGCACTCTTGTGCAAGACTGCCTTCCTCGGCTTCTCCTCGAGAAACAGACTTCTGCTTTGTGTAAACCACGGTGATTTGGGGTTTTCTCTCACTTGCAGCTCAAACGAATCCTAACTATACAGTCACCTCTGAAACTTTTCCCCAAACTTTTGTCTCCACTTGTTCAAGTTTATTTTGAAGGGGGCAGTTTCATTTCCCTGGTAAGTACTGGATTCAAATTTTTAAAGTTTTTTTTTTTAAAGATTTTATTTATTGATTTGACAGAGAGAGACACAGCGAGAGGGGGAACACAAGCAGGGGGAGTGGGAGAGGGAGAAGCAGGCTTCCCGCGGAGTCAGATGTGGGACTCGATCCCAGGACCCCGGGATCATGACCTGAGCTGGAGGCAGACACTTAACGACTGAGCCACCCAGGTGCCCTAAAGTTTTTTTTTTTTTAATAAAGATTTATTTATTTATTTGAGAGACAGAGAGAGAGAGAGAGAAAATGCATGAAGGGGGAGGGGCAGAGGGAGAGGGAGAGAGAATCCTCAAGCAGATTCCCCAGTGAGCGAAGACCCCGATGCGGGGCTCAATCCCAGGACCCTGAGATCGTGACCTGAGCTGAAGCCGAGAGCCAGACGCTTAACCGACTGAGCCATCCAGGTGCCCCCAAATTTTAAAAGTCTGATGATCATTTATCTTCCTGACCATCGTATGTGGTATTTGGACCACTGAAGATCCGCTCAGATGGTAGCTCTATGCTTGCAGGAAGGAGCTCCTGGCCCTGTCCAACCCCGCAGATATCTGTTACTCAGTGCTTACCTAATTACCTGCTAGAAATGCACAATCGCAAATTCTCTTCTCACTGGTCCATCCTGGGATACTTTTGTGACTTGAAAGATGGAGCAGTGAAGACCGTTCAGCCCCCCCCAAAGCCACTAGACTGTCTCCATGTGGGCTTGTCTCTAGGGCTGACGTCTGTGCACAGGTCAGCTCACTCACTTCCCTTCTTGCCCCCGCCCCGCGCCCCACAGCCAGTCCCAGGTACCTGCTGCCGGGAGAGCAGGATGTGGGCCAGGTGCTTGCCGACCTCCGCCGACCGATGGAGACACACACCCCAGGGATTGTCGATGACGTTGGCAACAGTGAGCAGTGAGGCTGGCCAGGTCAGGGCAGCCACGATGCCTGCAGAGGTGGGGTATCAGTGAGGAAAGCAGTGCGGGGAGGCCCTTCTAGGGAAGTGATGGGCTGGCTAATCAATGCCCAAGTGAACGCATGCAGAGTCTTGAACTTGGAACCCGTGTGTTTTCCAAGGGCCGCCAAATTGCTAAACAGCAATGAAGAAAATTGCAGCTCATGCATTTTTGATTCATGGACCAGATTCCTTCTGTTCAAGTATCTGTCATGGCTGGGATTCCAAAGATGGCCTTGATTTGTCACTCCACCCTGTGCCCTCCCACTTTGTGCTCTACTCGGCGGTGCCCAGCCCTGCCCTGCCATCCACACTAGGCTCAGCCATGGGACTTGTTTTGGCCAATGAGATATGAGTCGATGTGAGGCTTGAAATGGTTTTGTGCATGGGGGCCAGCCTCTTGTGCACTTCCACAGCTGGTGTGGGCTAGCCTGCTGATCCCAGGGGGAGGGTGACAGACAAATGGAGCAGAGCCAAGTTGCTCTCGTTGCCCCAGACAAGGCCAGCCTAGATCACTGGACAGTCGGCTGATCCACAGATGCATGAGCAGGCCCAGCTAAGATCAGTCAAATGAAGCCCCGTGACTTCTCTGCTGTTAATGAGAAATGACTGCTGTTTTAAGCTACTGGGTTTTGGGGTTGCTTGTTATGCAGCAATAGCTAATGGATAAGCTGTGTGACAATGTGGTTGGTTGCTTACCTGTCCCCTCCCTGCAAAGACCATAAACTTCATGGACAGGAATGCAGCCTTCACTTCTCTGTGTTCCTAAAGCCCAGCACAGTGCCTGGCTCCCTGGGAGCCTCGGGTGTGCAAAGATATGGTAGCAGTGGGCATGCTGCTGGTGGTGGGGCAGGGTGTGGGGTCGGGGGGCTTACCGGACAACACCGTGTACTTCAGGGCCTCCTGGGCCACCATGTTGGCCAGACCACTGAGGATGGTCTCCAGGGCATTGCCAAGCTCCATCAGGTACTTGGCCTCCCAGGCCAGGCAGTACTGCTCACTGCTGCGGGCTAAGGCCATCCATGGGGCGCTGAAGGTGCCTAGGGGAGAACACAGGTAGGTGGGGGTCTCTCCTGTCTGTGACGGGGACCACGTGTCCTTGTGGGCAGACAGAGGACCACCCCTGCTGATGAGCGGCAGCTGTCAGCGAAGCACGGCACCACCCTGGGAGTCAGCAGGCTGGGGTTCGAGTCCCAACTCTGCATTCAATAGTAGCGGAGTGACCCTGGGCACACCACTATCCCACCCGCAGCCTTACTGTGCTTATCTGCGCAGTGGGGAGATGAATATTTAGCTCCCTTTACGGTGTAGTCGTAGGAGTGAAGTGTTGGAACTTCTCTATGTGTGAAGTGCTACTCTCGCTCACCCTGCGGTCATTCTGGCATCAGCTGCTGAGGATGGATGATAGGAATGCGCACTGCGCCAAGCAGCTGGCTCTGGGAATCAGCGGGAAGCCATTCTACAAGCTCGGGCTGGGAGACGATCTGGAAGTTTGGGGCAGAGGTACCTGAGCCCAGCTCTGCCACAGTCTCACTGGGTCACCCGGTGTTTCTGAGCTTCAGTGTTCTCACTTAGGGACTAGAAATGGGGGATGAAGACAGCACCACCACAGTGACCAACATCAGACACAAGTCCAACGCTGACCGTCTGCCTCCCTCTCTCCCCTGCTCTGTCCCCTCCCTCTGCCCTGAGTGAGAATAGTGTCACCTCTCCGGCATGACACTGAGGCCCTCAGTGAGCTGGTTCCTGCCTCCTTCCCAGCCCCATTGCTCCCCAATTTCTCACGTACACTCTGCCCACCCCCCACCCCGGAAAAAACCTGCATCTTCCACGGCCTCTGAAATAGGGTGCCACCACTGGCCCTGCTTCGTAGCTGAGGAAACTGAGCCATCTAGGCCTCAGTTGGCAGGGACAGGGAGGTGCACACATCACACAGTCACTCTGTTCGGCAAGAAGGACAAGGGAGTCAGCTCCCTGCCTGACTCAAAGACCTCATCCCTACCGGAGGGTGCCAGGCCAACGCAAGCACCACCCTGAGGCTGCTCCCCCCTCTGCAGGGACCCTGTCACGGCTCCGCGACAGCTCAGGGTAGAGAGCAGGGGCTGGGGTTGGGGGAGGGTAAGGGTGAGGAGGGCTGTGTCCCGGCTCGGCAGCTTCCTGGTTGCTTGGCTCACACAGCCAGGCATGCCCCCTGGGGTCCTACATCTGTAAGAATGGAATGATAACATCTGACTCCTGAGAGTCGTGGGGATCACGTGAGAGGTCGCACACACTGCCTTATATAAACACTAAAGCGTTGTATCGCCCTGAGGCCCCAAACATGCGCTATGGAGCCAGACAGAACAGTGATAAGTCTGCCCCAGTCCCTGGCTAGCCAGGTGACCCTGAGCAGCCCTTGTGCACCTCAGTTTCCTTATCTATAAAACGGGGGTGACAATGATGCCCACCTCCCTGGCCTGGAACGAGGGACTCAGTGAGCAAGGCCCCCCGAGATGCTCTCACTAGTACCCGGGTAGCTGCAAAACTGTTGTCACTAGTGTGCATAATCCTTAACCAAGGGCTGGGCTGCAGAGAATCAACTATCCCTATCACACACAGGCTTCTCTCCCAGCAGAGACGGGAAAAGCTACCCTCTTCTCCCTCCTGAACTTCATCTAGTTTGCTTGTTTCTTTGACCCGCCCCGTCTGGAGAGCACGCTGCACCAGGCTGGTGGAGGAGAACACTGAAGAGGGTTTCTTCCTGCTACAGTGAATTGGCCTTCGACCTGGGGCCAACAGAGCAAATCACACTGAATTTGGCTTTTGACCTGGGGCCAACAGAGAGGGTGAGGGTAAAACAAAGAGAAGGAATTTGTTTCCAGATTGGGCAGAATCACAAATTCCTTAACTTAGATGCCTGCTCTTTCTTACTCCTTCCCTCCCGTCTCGGTCCGGCCTGCAGCGTGGTATCACGGAAAGGAGTGAACAGAGACACCCATGAACTTTGGGTCGGGAGACAAGGGTTCGAATCCTGCATCTGCCACTCTCCTGAACCTCAATGCGACCCCTCTGGGCTTCCTCTTCTGCCAGATCAGGACAGGACCAGCCCCCACCTCAGGGGGTGGACGTGAGGATCCCGTGGGGGTAAGGCATATCAAGTTCCCACTTTGTGGGTAAAATGCCTGACTCGGGGTAGGCACGGACTAGGTGCTCAGTCAACACTGGAGGCCCACTGTGCGGGGATGGGGCCTGGCCATCCCACACCAATAAGGCTCTGGCACTTGACCAGATTAAGGTGGATGGATGCCTCTACACAGAGCCTGGACATTTTCTCACTTGCTTTCTTCTGTCTTATTTAGAAGAGCTGTGGCTTCTACCCTCAGATCCCAGAGATCTGGAAACTCAGGAGAGAGATCTGGGAACTCGGGAGGCTGCCAGCACGTGTCTGGTTGGGATGCTCTGGGTTCCCCGACCCACCCTGCTCTCTCTCTCCCTCTCTCTCTCGGTGATGAACTGTTTGCTGAGCCTCACACTGGGCACTTGCAACAGTGAGCCAGGCAGTGGGTGGATCACAGTGTTAGTCCTTGATGCCACCCTGGTTAGAATCTCCCCGAAACGCATGTGCAAATTAGAGCAGCAAAGGGGACAAATGTTTGTGGAATGTCAATGAGAAACCAGGTGCCTTCCATGTGTTAGCTTGTTTAACTTAAACTTTGCAAGTATCTCGAAAGGCAGGAATAATTTTTCTATTTTACAAACGAAGCAGCTGAGGCACAGAGAGGCTAAGTAATTTGCTTGAGGTCACACCGTCAAGATGTACTGATCTCTCACCTACTTCAAGGCCTTCCAACTTTAGGTCACGTGCTTAAAATCCTTTGCTCTCTCCTACTTGCTCTGAGGATAAATTCAAACTCCTTGCCTCACCTCACATGCTCCAGCATGATCTGACCCTGTCAATACCCCTGCCTTCTAGCTCCCTGTTCCAGTCATCCTGCGCTTCCTTTGCACCCCTGGGCCTTGGTACATGCTGCTCCTTTGCTTGGTTTATACTTCTTGCTCCTTCTTTACCCAGTTAACTCCCAGTCTTTAGCCTAAATGTCACTTTTTCCAGGAACCTTCCCCTCATTTTCCAGAAACACTCTGTTGTTTCCTGTACTGTGCCATCCATAAACCTTCCCTGTAATTATTGCTCAGTCATCTGTTTTCTCCCTTGGATCACATGTTCCATGGGAGCCAAGGCCATGGCGGGGCTGCTCACCACTGATTTCCTAGGGTCTGGCTCAATGTCTGGCATGTGCTGTGTACAATACTCTGTAAGTGCTGCTCAATGGATGAATTAATAGGTGAATGGGTGGGTGAATGAATGGGCGAATGGATGGATGGTTGAGTGGCTAGGTGGATAGATGGATGCAGGCATCGATGAATGAATGGGTGGGCGGATGGTTGGACAAATGAATAGACAGTTGGATGGATAGATAGGCAATGGATGGATGGATGCACCAATGGATGGATATGTGGATGAGTGGGTGAATAGCTGAAGGAGTGGATAGGTGAGTGGGTGTACGGTGATGGATGGGTGGATGGATGGGTGGGTGGGTGGGTGGACTGGTAGACAGGGGGATGGGTAGGTGGATGGATGGTTGGCGGATGGGTGGGTGTGTGGATGATGGATGGATGGATGGATGGATGCGTGCACAGGCTGATGGATAGATGAAGAGTGGACGGGTGGATGGGTATGGGATGAAGCCACCTCACCTTCTTGAGCCTCAGTTTCCTCCTCTGCAAAATGGGGCTCCTCCCCCACCCCTCCAGCGGTATACATGGGCAAGAGCCTAGGCCAGGGTTTGGCCCACAGCAGCTGTCCCAGCTCAGTTGACACCTCCCCCATCCCCCCGCCCTTCTCTGTTCTGCCCCTGGTCCTCACGGTATTTGCCGGATGCCAGCCATCCTGTGATGGCGATGGTGATATGCAGCTGCCTGCCTTCTGTTAGAGGCAGAAATGTGAACTCTTCAATGGCCCCGACACGCTTCTTCATCTTGTACCCTAAAGACCCAGATACAAAAATGAGGGTGGAGATGACTGGGGACCCCAGGAACGTTAGTCAGAGTGGCTCTCTGTGCTTGCACGCTCACACTGAGTGCCCTCTCCCTGGACAAATGTCTCATTTCTTAAGTCATTAAAGGGTAGCTGCCATTATTGTCCCCGATTACAGCCAAGGCTAACAGGCTCCCGAAGGCCGGCCGGCTCCCAACGGCAGAGCTGGGGCTGGAACTCACTGCTCCATCCTGACCCCACTGGTTCTAGATCTTTTCTTCCCACGAACATCACGGGTGTAACACACTCCTCTCAAAAAAGTGGATCAAACTGACCATGATTCTCCATGTGGGGAGGGATGGACCCCCCCTCCCCCCGGGGAGTGGAACAGGGATCTCTGTGTGACTAGGGGGCTGCTGACACATATGATTTAGAACCCCCTCCCCCGGTGATACTGGTAAATGCAGGAAGCCTGTCGCGAGTTCCCGCAGGGCTGGGACCCAGCGTGAGAAGAAGCCATGTCCTCCTCTGTCCCCTGCGGAGCCATCCCGGGTGAGAATCCAGGTCTGTCCTGTAAGAGCCAGGCCTCCCTGGCTGAACATCCCCCAGGGGCCACCACTCCTTTGGAACCTTACCTGTCAGGCCAGCTCCAGCCGCCCCGAACAGCGAGGTCATGACAGCGATGCCGGCCACCGAGCCCAGAGCCGCTGCCCCAGCACTGCCAATGATCGTGGCAGCCCCAGCGGCCACGAGAGGGGCAGCTAGACCCCCAGTCACGCCTGCAAGGAAAACAGCCCATGGTAGGTAAAGGCAGGAAGATGCGGCCTACCCAGTTCTTCCTCCACTGGCCACCCACTGCCTTCCATGGATGCTTCTAAGAAGGCGAATGAATGCTCTTCCTGCTGACCGAGCACCTGGTGCGCGCTGGGGGCCTCCTCCCAGCTGACCCCCTTACACTGTCCTCTCGAGCTTCGAACCTGGCATCGTCCCTTGCTCTGCACCACCCCGGCCCCAGGTGGCCCCCGCCCAGCCTGGGCTGGCCTTACCGATCACGGTCCCGCCCCCGACAGTTGCCAGGCCTATCAGGAGATAGCGTTTCCATTTCCTTCGGTTTTCTTTCTTCTTCCGGGACGCCTCAGCCGTTCTGGGGGAAAGAGGTTGGTTTTTAGGGCTGGCTGTGCCTGGCACCCCTTGAGACCACCCCGCCTCACCGAGCCCCCAGCTAGGATCCATGCTTGTACGCACGCTGCCATGCAGAGCGAGGTACCGAAGACACCCTGGGCCGGTCGATGGTTTTAAGAAGCTGAGAAGTTTCTAAAACCCAGCTGGGAAATCCCAGTGTGTGGGATGTGCTACTTACCCAATGGATCCATCCTAACAGGGTTGCAATTTGAATAATAAAAAGACAAAAAAAAAATAATAGCAAAAGCAGCACAAAAAATATCTTCGAACAGATGGACCCAGAACAAGTACAAATACAATCACAGACTCCATCGCCCCCGTCTGCCCTTCCCCTCCCTGCTCCCCACCATCTGATCCCATCTCCCGCTGAAAATGTCTGCTGTCAGAGACCTTGGCCTTGGGGCAATAGCTACAATCAGCCAGATTTGACCTTTAAAAGCTATAAAATCGAGCGGAAAGGAAGCATGTGGGGTGAACGGGGTCAGGTGAAGCTGAGGACAGCCACCGTTAGCGTGCATCAAGCCCGGCCCCCGTGTCAGGTGGGCGGCCCCCGTGCTGTGAGGCAATCAGGAGCAAGATGAGGGACCCAGGGCAGGTCGGTGCAGTCCTCATGAGCACGAACTCTGAGCTGAGGTTGGAGTTTGGACAACTCAATGTATAGTGTGACAGCATGATAATCAAGAGGGAAAATGGTTAATATTTACTGGGATCCTTCTCGCCAGCCGCCGTGCTTTGTACTTCACATGGTTTCTCTTACCCTGGAAGCAGTTTTATTATTGTGCCCGAATGACAAACCAGTGAAGGGACAACAGCATCCCCCTCCTGAGGGGCTGTGGGCATCGAGGAAGAGCACGCCTGTCACGCATTTAGCATGATGGCACACCGCAAGGGGTGACCGAAATGGGGGCTGCTGTTATCATGAGACTATGCGCGTTTCTCCAAGCCTCAGCTTCCTCTTCTGTAAAATGGGGTTAACAACAGCTATCACGTCAGGTTGCAGGTTGTAAAGATGGAACACATTCTTTCTTCATCTACCCAACCAACAACCCGTCACTGAGGGTGGGCTTTGTGCTGGTACTTCTGCACGTCGAGTATCTGTGAGCAGAACCACGCAGCCCTCGACCAAGACCCGTTTCCTTCCCATCTCGTTCCTCCTGAACCGCACGTTGTCTTGAGAAGTAGCTCATCCTCCAGTCATCGAAGAGAAGTGGGATTTGAGCTGGGCGTTCAGGAGCTGCTCCGCCGTTTGGTTCTCTGCCGGCTCACCTCAACGAATTCTTTTCCCACACCCGCTTCCCGGGTGTCGAGTACAGCCCTTCACAGCTACTTCACTAAGGGAAGCAGAAACCCAACATCAACGTCCCCACGCACACCACAGGTGCTGCTTCTCCGTGGCTGAAATTCATGCCATTGGACGTGGGATGAGGCTGAACTGCGTACATTGAGCAAAGCAGAAGGCAGGATGGCAACAGAGCGTGGGTTCTGATGTCAGGATTTGGCCCCGTGAACTTGACCTCGACCTCTGCTGTGTGGTAGTGGAGTACCATCCACCAGGTTCGGCTATCCCTCCCTGTACTGGTCCTCCCTGCACAAACATTACACATCCCTGCCCTGTTGAACTGAGGGGCCCCATGACCCACTGTCGCCAATGGAAGGTCAGTGGAAGGGGTGTGTGCATGTCATTTCTGGAACAATCTTTAAGAGTCAGCGCAGGGGTCTCATAAGCCTCCTTCTGCTCTGCCACGAACCAGCAACATCCCAGATAGGGGTCACTCCGTCACCCTGGACCCAGGACTGACAGTGCAGTGTGGACTAAAGCCGCCAGTCTGCAATGGACACTTGCTATGAACAAGAAATGCACCTTTGTTGCTGTAAGCCATTGAGATTCGGAGGTCATTTGTTAACTGCAGCAAAAGCCAGTCTATCCTGTTGGTTGAGCTGCTTGCTGTGACTAAGTACCAATTATTTGACCTATCTGACCTGCCTCACCCTGCAAGTGGGGATAATAATAGCACTTCATCCCTGGGGGCACTGGGAGGGCAAACGAGATAATCTACACACAGCGATCGGCATATTATAATCAGTCAGTATGTTTGCCGTTATTATTGTTCCTTTCATTATTACGATAACCGCCTCCCACATGCAGGCTGGAGATATAGTCTGGCCTTTGATCGCTAGCACCGCTCCGTGCAAACAGGAAGGTTGGCAACTAGTTGTTTTTGGCAGAGGTCAAGGTCTGAGGAAAGGACTCAGGCTGCTGAGGACATGCAACAGGAATGCGCATGCGCCAAGCACCTGTCTCTGAATCAGTGGCACCTCATTTCACAAACTCGGGCTGGGAGACAGTGCAGAAATTTGGGGCGGAGGTATCCGAGCCCAGTTCCCCCACGATCTCGCTGGGTCACCCAATACTCCTGAGCTACAATTTTCTCCCTCGGGGACTAGAAATGGGGGGATGAGGACACCACCACCACAGTGACAGATACTACAACCCTGATCGTCGGCCTCCCTCCCTCCCAGCCCCGTGTCCCTGCCCTCTGCCCTGAGTGAGGATAATGTCACCTCTCCGGCATGACACTGAGGCCCTCAGTGACCTGGCCCCTGCCTCCTTTCCAGCCTCGTTGCTCATTATTTCCTCACCCCTATCTGCCCTCCAGAAACACTGCTCTGCCCCTGGGCACTGCCTGGGCCTCAGTCCCTGCGCTTCTGCTGGACCTCGGCTGTCAAGGACCTTCTCACCTTCCTCTGGCCGGCTATACATTAGTCATCATTCAAGAGTCACCTCCTCCAGGAAGCCTGCCTGAGCCCCAGGGTTGCCTAAATGCCTGGACTCTGGGGCCCCTAACCCTCTATACTCAGCATGGACTTCTTCTAGACCACAGGTTTTCAAAGGGTAGGGCTTTGTATCAACTGCATCACAAGCCCCCAGGGTAGCTGTTAAAATCACAGCTTCCTGGGCCAGAAGGTCTGGGCATGCAGGTGGTCAGGCAGCTGTACCCACGGCAAGCCCTCCAGGGACCTGCTGCTGTATCTTAAGTTGGACAATTGCCCGGACAGGACCTTTCTTGCTCTCTACCCTCAGCAGCTTGTCCTGGGCTTGGGACCTGGAGGGTGCTCAGAAAACGTTTCTTGAACAGAACCTAATCATTCCAACAAGGACTGGATGGGAACATGTTGCTACAGTATCTACTTCCCCACGCACTGCCTACATCTATAAAGCTGGCGAGGCATTTTGGCTAAACAAAATATTTAGCCAGAGAACAGGCCAATCACCATCAAGAATAAAACTTCTGAGCTACTAGGATCCATCTGAAATGTTGTAAAATTATATAAATTTCTGCTTCTAGATTCTTCCTGCAGTGACATCTGCGCAACCGTGATACTAGATAATCTTCCCTTTTAGGGGAGTTTATGCGGAGTGGGGGCGGGGAGCTCATACCCTAAAGGGAATAAAATACCTACATAGTAAATATGGTTCTTGAAGCTGTTTTACTTAAATGTATGAATCCTAGTGTATCAAATCCATTTAACAAAGATTAGATGGATGATACACTCTAATCTCTAGCATTATTATTTAAATGTTTATAAAAATTTACTGAATCAAAGAGAATACAGTCTTTTCCCCCAATTTATTTAGCTAAGGACCTCTCTCTCAATATTAACTCAAACTGATTTCCTTACTTATTTAAGTACTCGAACGTTCTTAATAACTGTTTTGTACACGAAACGAAGGGCTTTGCCAATCCTCATTAATTAACACAGCATTTTACTCCTGCAGTTAATTCCATTGTCTGACTGAATTTCAACGTCTAAAGCACCACAGGAGATGTTGGCTGGGAGTTACGTCTACAATGCTTCCTATATTTGGATATGGGAATTCAGGGCATGACGCTAAATCCAAATGGAGCCCCGTTCCCATTATTGACCACCCACAGGTCAGATACCATGGCAATCTCTGCCATGCTCATGGTCTGGGATGCCAGAAATGACCTGGAGTTGGCGTTCCAGGTCAGCCTTCCAAGGACAAAGGTTGAAGCCACATACACATGGTGAAGAGCAAGACACCCATGTTGCCCATCTCATGGATCCACAAATAAAGGTCACCCCCTGCCACTCATCTCCCACCATGAGAGGGTATTTCTTAGCCTTATCACCATTATCGACACCTTGTTTTTCTTTTTTTAAAATCACCTTCTCCAGTTGATAGAGGGAGAGCTTATTTCTGGGAGTTCTAGAGACAGATTCCTAAGTAAAAGCGCAGAAAGCCCCATTGAGAATGATCTTTACTGGGGTGCCTGGGTGGCTCAGTCGGTGAAGCATCTGACTCTTGATTTCGGCTAAGGTCATGATCTCAGGGTCATGAGTTCAAGCCCCGCATTGGGCTCCACGCTGGGCATGGAGCCTAATTAAAAAAAAAAAAAAAAAAAAAGTATCTTTACTGCTTTCTTTAGAATTAAGGAGGGAACCTGGGGGTGTCAACCATGCCGTGAGGGATGCACTGAGTACCGTTCAGATGGATACGGTGGTTGAATCTGATGGTGCCACTGGCCAGTGGTGTGACCTTAGCCGAGGTACGTCACCCCTCTGACCTTCTGTTACTTCCTCTGCAGAACCATCAGGGGACTGTCTGTGCATCAGATGAGATGGCATCTTGTCCTGCATCTACTGAGCGCTCAGGGACAGCTACGTGTTGGCCATGTCATTCCGATGTGGTCAGTGTCAAGCCAGCAGGACATGCACTAACATTTATGGGCACCTACTATATGCTAGGCGCTGGTCCAAGCTTCTGATCTGCATCCATTCATTTAATCCTCCTAACAGCCCTGCGATGGAGATACAACCATCACCCCTCTGCTGGAGGTGAAGGAGCTGAGGCGCAGGGAAGTGAGGTCACCGAACACGTGGGGGAAGCTCGGATGGCCTCTGGGCTCCGGTGCGGGGGGGCACCCAAGAACAGAAATATACATCATCCTCCGAACCCGAGCTGCAAAGGATCGCCTCAGGGTGTCGAGTGATAAGCTCACCTTGCAGAAACACAAACCATGGAGCTAAAAGGAGCCTTTTAGCTCAAACAGAATTTGATCCTCTCCTTGTCTAGGTGAAAAAAACTGGTGCCGTTGCCCAGAGAGGGAAAGCAACATGCCCAGGGCCACACAGACATTTAGTAGTAGAATCACACTGAGAACTAGGTCTCCTGGCCCAATAGTCTCTAGGCCTCCCTTGGGTATCAGACCCTTCCAGAGACCACAGGAAGAACCTGAAAGGTCTCCAGTGTCCCTAAAGCAGAATATAAAACTTTACACATGTGGAGTATTTTTCTGAGGAAAGGGCTCATATGTAGGATATTAACGATGATGACTGTCCTACAGCAAATAATGATATTTTTCAACCAGTTACTCCGTTCAAGTCCTGCTTGAAGCACTTCACATGTATGAACTCATTTGAGCCCTCCCAAGGACCCTATAAGGAGGGTGCTATTATTGTCCCATTTTGCAGATGAGGAAAACAGAAGCCCAGAGAGGTTAAATAACTTCCCCAGTATCACACGCTGAGCTGGGCTTTCCTAGAACTTCTGTTTCGCATCATCTCTGATCTGGCATTATAAGTACAGGCAGAACAAATCCTCTCGATAACATGTTTTTTTTTCTGATAATAACATTTCCAAACAAATAGCTAAGATTTTCCAAGCATACATATATGCGTGTGTGTGTGTCTGTGTGCAACAAGACAAGACTCTGGGCCCTGCTCGTGATTATGGTCATGGGCCTGGATCCAGGTGTTTCTTTACTAACACCGCTCTGGGTATTAACACAAGCCTGTTTTCAGGTTATTTCAACAGATCAAGTTGCTTCCTTTCTCCAGGAAACAGCCCCTTCCTTTGCCCTACTAACCCCAGGCAGGAGGGCAGCTCCAGCTCTGAAGCTGGCTTCAAAGCTACATGGAACTGGCGCAAACTGGCTGCTCCAAGAGAGCCATCGTGCTGGACAAAGAGGGTGCTGGGAGACGTGCCTGGTGCAAAGAGCCTGCAACTAGGCTGTGACCAGGATTGATTGCTCTGGTATCAGATCCCGTGGAAGGTGTTCCGCCAAGAGCTGAGCTCTGGCCAAGCGACCAGGATAATTTCCCTCTATACACGCCCGACCATGCATAGATAGCAAAGCTGCTCTGCAGCTGGAAGGCACCGGGGCCTGTGGGGGAAGGAAAGGACTCCTATCTATCGTGCCCCTGCTACGGGCCAGCCCTGGGCCGAGCCCTCGACATGACCATGTTCGGTTTTCACAGTGACCCTGGGAAGACACTATCCTTATTCCCATTTTACAGATAAGAATATTGTGGTTTAGGGAAGGGGGGGGCTGTCCAAGGTCAACAAGTAGATGGGTGTCAGAGATAGGATTTTGATCCAGGCCACTCTGGCCCATGGACAAGGTATCCCAAGGGCTTGAGGTGGCAGAGCAGGGTGCCAGGGTCACGGACTATTGAAGTCACAGACTCATGCCCCCAGCCATAATCCATTCAGTCCCCACTTTGTACAACTGAGGACTGGGGACCAGAGAGGGGAAGTGACTTGCTAAGGCCACACAGCGAGTCAGGGCTGCATTGGGACTCTCGGTGGCGTGCTCCTTCCATCCCCCTGCACCAGCTCTTAATGGCGGGGAGGGAAGAGGGGAGCATCTGTTATCTGAACAGGGCACTCAAGTGGGAATTCTCAATTCCTGGCAGGCAGGGCTGGGGTCACGGGGCTCCCTTACTCAGATTCCTCCTCTTTGGTTTCCTTCAGGCTCTCAAGGAACGTCTCTTCAAGGAGATCCAGCTCCTCCAAGGGCACTCGGAAGAGGGAGGTCACATGGCAAATGAGGACGCGGGCCCGTGCATCATAGCGCCCTCGAAAGAGGAACAAGGGCAGAGAATCAGTTTAGCTTTTAAGCACAGAGACCTTAACAGCAGTGTAACAGATACAGCCCCAAGCCTGGACACGCCCTACATGCACAACCCCACAGGAGGTGTCAGCCAAACCACAGGCCAGCCTCCCGGATGGGATATGGTGCAACGCTGAAAACCACCGACCAGAGGCAAGGTGGTATTTTTCACCAAATCATGGGCAAAGATCAATTTTTTTAATCCCAAAGGTTAAGGAGGTGATGAAAACAGGTGGGTGCTCGAGGACCTCGCTGGTGGGAGTGTGCATTGATATAAACCGTCCGGAGGGACATTTGACAATACGGATCAAAACCTGAGAACAGGGGCGCCTGGGAGGCTCAGTCGGTGAAGGGTCTGCCTTCAGCTCGGGTCATGATCCCACGGTCCTGCGATCGAGCCCCACATCGGGCTCCTGGCTCAGCGGGGAACCTGTTTCTCCCTCTTCCTCTGTCTCTCTCCCTGCTCGTGCTCTCTCTCTCTCTCTGTATCTCTGAGAGATACAGAGTAAATAAAATTTACTCAAAGGAGTAAATAAAATTTTTAAAAACAAACAAAAAACAAAAAAACCCTGAGAACAGCGTGTACTCCCCAAATCGTAGAGACACAAAGTAGAACAGCGACCAAGGGCTGGGGGAGGGGGAAAGAGGGTGTTAGCATTTAGGGGGACAGAGTTTCAGTTTCGCAGGTTGAAAAGAGCTCTGCAGGGGCACCTGGGGGGCTCAGTCGGTGAAGTGGGGGGCCCACTGGGGGGCTCCCAGTCGGTGGAGTGGCCGACTCTTGGTTTTGGCTCAGGTCATGATCTCAGTGTTGTGGGATTGAGCCCCATGTCGGGCTCCACACTCAGCAAGGAGTCAGCTTGAGGACTTTTCTCTCTCTCTCTCTCTCTCTCCCCTCTGTCCCTCCCCCTGCTCATGCTCTCTCTCTTTCTCTAAAATAAATAAATAAATCTTTAAAAAAAAAAAAAGAAAAGAGCTCTGGAGATGGACGGTGGTGGTGGCAGACACAGTGAATGTGCTTAATGCTACTGAACTGTACCCTTAAAAATGCCTAAAATGCTACATTTTATGTTATGTGTATTTTACCCAATAAAAAAAAGGAGGAGGGAAAGATGTGCATCCCTGCTGGCCCAGGAATTCTATTTCTGAAACGCTAATCTTAAGAAAACAATCCTGAATGCAGCAAATAGTAAGTAAAGACCCTACCACTGCCTTTATAACGTGGAAGTGATAGCAATCTGGAGATTTCTAACATCAGGGGATCCGTTATGTAAACAACAGCACATCCACCGCGTGGAGAATAAGCAATAAAAAAAAACCTTTCTTAAGAAAGGTTTGCAAATCTGAAAAAGATGCTTATATGATGAAACAAAATTTTTCTTTTCTTTTTTTTATTTTTTAAAGATTTTATTTCGTTATTTGACACACAGAGAGAGAGAGAGAGAGAGTGTGAGAGGGAACACAAGCAGAAGGAGTGGGACAGGGAGAAGCAGGCTCCCTGCCGAGCAGGGAGCCCGATGCGGGGCTCGATCCCAGGACCCTGGGATCATGACCTGAGCCGAAGGCAGACGCTTAACGACTGAGCCACCGAGGCGCCCGAAACAAAATTTTTTAAAATGGATAGATTTACTTGAGAATAGGGTCCCAGCTAAGGAAAAAAAAAAGCCCACTGCTGAGGAAAAAGGGAGAGAAAAAAAGCAAATAGGCTTTTTTTTTTTTTTTTTGGTCTTTTCAAAATTATCCCTAATGAACTTGGGTTAATTTTATAATTGGAAAAATTAATCAATCAAAATTTCACCAAAGGTGGTCTGTCCAAGCCCAGAAGCTCGTACGAATGCATTACTATCTGGGTAGTGAGGCACGGGGGAACGTGAGGGTGCCCTACCTCCGAACATGACATCACTCAGCCGCCCAAGCTGGAGATGGGGGATTCGCCCATCCTCCTTCACCCCACACACCCAAAGTCCCTGAGACTGTTAGTTTATCTAAAAAAATCTCCACTGGGGCAGGGGGGGGAAATCACTGCATCCCTGTCCCGGCTTCCCACCCCCCACTGGGAGGGCGTCCTCTCTGACTGGGACCAGTCAGTCTGGGGGTCTCTGTTCTCTGTAGAGAACCTGCGTGTTCCGCCACCTGGTGGGCATAGCGGGGCAGCGAGGCCCCTTGGGGTGCAGCACGTCAGCACCTCAAGCCCCCAAACCTCCACCACCGTCTCCAGTCATCCACGGACACTGGGGCTCCTCTCTGCCTCACTCAACTGGCTCCAAACTCTGGTAGGGACGGGACGGGTGTTATTTGGACCCCAAAGATTCTGGTTCTGAAGTGTGGGACGGGCCCGGGGAGTCTGTCCCTGCAGGTGCACAGCCAGGTTTGACTGCTGGTCTGGGGGCCGGGAGTAGGAGGAACAGAGCTGCTGTCACTCTGGACCCTGCTCTCGGGTTTTCCTCCCTCGGACTCCCACTCGCCCTCCTCGGCTCCTCCCCAGCCCAGAAACGTCTCCAGGCCTGGGCTCCTGGCACTCTGCTTTCTTCTTTCTTTGGCGACAATGTAGAAATGTCACGATTAGAACCACATCTAAACCCTATCATGACCTTCAAGGCCCCTGTTCAAAGTCCCCGACCTCGACTTCTAGAATGTTCCTGCTTCAAGGGCCTTTGCACCTGCTGTTTCCACCACCTGAAAGGCTCATTCCTCAGATCTTCATGGGGGGCTTCTCCTCCTCATTCAGGTCTCCGTTCAAAGCCTCCTGCCCAGAGAGGCCCTCCTGACCATCGGCCTATTGCTCTTTGTCCCTTTTCCCTGACTTTTGTTCCTCACAGAGCTCACCAGCACTGACATATTCGTTTACTTTTGTTAGTCTCTCCTCCTGAAATACAGACTTTATAAGGGCAATCTTATAAGCGTAGTCATTGCTCTATCTTTAGTTCTCAGAATGGTGCTTGCCACAAAGAACAAATGTTCAATGAATAACTTGACGGACTTGGGGAGGGATCCTGTTTGTGTGTCTAACCCTGGGCAAACAGCTCACCCTTGCTCGGGTGGAAAGCAGAAATGGTGAGAGTCACCTCACAAAGGTTTGAGGAGAGGACTCCCAGTCCATGAGAGGCCCCTAATGAACGTTGGGCGCCCTCGATGCGGGCAATTGTATTATACTAAAATAGCAGTGGCTAGCCTTCACCATGCACGGCCCTCCAAAGTCCTTAAGTTTGAAGTTTCAGCTTCTGCAGGATAAACCAGTTCCTTCCTAGCATAGAGCACTCAGTGAGCTGCAAATTGGCAGTGTTTGCCCCCCTGTCCTTGACTGCAACTGTCTATGTGCTGGGGAGTAGACACGTCTTGTCTCGGGATTACTAGGTCAGTTAAAGCTTCACAAAGGAGCTCCCCGCTCTCACAGACTATTGCATCCAGGTGATAATTGAGCTGTGGAAAGCCAGCCAGCCTTGGCCATGGTGATTAATTGGTGGCAATTATAATTAGCTGTGAATTCATACTCTGCTGGTTAAGGCTGCCGTGATTCAGCTTCTGGAATATAGGATGCCAGGCACACAGGTGATCAGCTCCCGATGTATACTCAGGCACGGGGTTCTGGAATGTGTAAGGGTCACTGGTGGCCAGGCTGCTGGACTTGGAGCTGAGGTCCTACATGAGGCAGATGGTAGGTGGTGGGGGAGGGAGCAGCACGAGTCCAAGGCGACCCCGACACTGGGGTTTTCTGGTCCTGGCTCTACTGCCAACTTGCCAGGTTGGCCAACTCACTCCTCAAGGGCCTGACTATCCTGTTGTGGAGCTCGGGTCAAGAGCCTGGGCATCGTTCCTGGTTTTTCTGGTTGCCCTACTCAAACATCCAATCCACCAGCCAATGCTGTCAGCTGCACCTTCAAAATGTATCCTGAGTCAGACCCCAGCACTCCACTACCATTGCCTGCCACGGCCACTGTGACCGCCTTCCCTCTTCAACTACCGGCCATCACCCTGGTCCTCAGCTTTCACGCATGCCAGCACTCTATGTGTCGCCCAGAGCCAGAGGGGCAAAGTCATATGGCTGATTGTGCTCTCTGTCCAACTTAAAGCCCTCCCAATGCACTCAGAATAAAATCCACATTTCTTCCCATGGTCCACAAGGCTGAACATTACCTGGCCCCTTCCCACCACCTTCTTCTACATCACTTTCCCCTGATCCCTGTTTCACGCACCAGTACCTGGCCCACCAAGAAGCCAAGCTCTTTCCCACCCCAGGGCCTTTGCACTTGCGGTTCTAACTAAAAGGCTCCTCCCCCAGAGCTCTGCCCGGCTGGTCCCTTCTCATCAGTCGGGTCGCAAATTTTATGTCCTTACAGAAGGCATCAGCCTCTAAAGTACAGCAGCCCACCGCTGGTCACGCCGTCCCATTCGTGGTTCCTACCACTGTTGTATCTGTGGATAGCTTGACTGTCTGGCTCTCCCCACCAGACTGTCAGACCCACGACGGCAGAAACTTTTGCTTTGTTCCTTGTTGTCTCCCAGTGCCCAGGATGACGCCCAGCAATTAGTAAGATGTGTTGGCTCAATAACTAACTGATGCTCTCCCTTGTCTGCCAGGGTTCTCTGACCGGCCCACGCATTTCTCCTCCCACCACCAGCTGAGACTTATTCTCTCTTTCCAGTACCCTCTGAGCCCTGCATCCCCAGGGGACAAGGGAGACAGCGTGTTTGCTGGGTAAGGCCTCTCTCCTCCTCTGGGTAGGGTCATCTCTTACAGTGATGAGTTACTTTTAAATGTCAAAGTCTTGACAATGCCTCGAATACCCTCTCTTGGATCTGTTCATCACTCAGTTTCTTCCTCAAACGTCACCTCCTCTGAGAAGTCCTCCCTGACTCCACTTCACTGCTTTCTGCTCCCCTATCAGGAGGTATTTTCTTATCACCTTTTAAAACCTGATTTTTACATTGGCCGACTTGTTTATGATGTTTCCCCCTCTGGAACAGAAG